CAGCACATCCACTGAGGTGGACTCTGTGACATCAGTCAGGACCTCAGTGGCGTGGAAGTCCAGAGGAAGCCGGCACTCGTCCCGACCGTCAAAGATGAAGACGACCTGGAACTGTTCAAAGCTGCAGATTCCTCTGGTTTCAGTAAAGAAGTGATGAACCAGCTCCACCAGGCTGAACTTCTTCCCTCTCAGCACATTCAGCTCTTTGAAAGTGAATGGAAATGTGAAGTGGATGTCCTGGTTGGCTTTGCCTTCAGCCCAGTCCAGGGTGAACTTCTGGGTTAAGACTGTTTTCCCAATGCCAGCCACTCCCTTTGTCATCACTCTTCTGATTGGTCCATCTCTTCCAGGTGGGGGTTTAAAGATGTCTTCCTGTCTGATGGTTGTTTCTGGTCTGACTGGTTTCCTGGATGCTGTTTCCATCTGTCTGACCTCATGTTCATCACTGACCCCTCCAGTCCCTCCCTCTGTGATGTAGAGCTCTGTGTAGATCTGATTCAGAAGGGTTGGGCTTCCTGCTTTAGCAATCCCCTCAAACACACACTGGAACTTCTTCTTCAGGTTGGACTTAAGTTTACGTCGACACCCAACAAGAATCTCTGATGGAATAAACACCAAGTGACATAAATGTGACAACTCTTTTGAAAATGTGAAGCATTCTGATGGATTCAGGTGACTGGGCTGTCAGGTCCTGACTGGCTGAAAGACTGATGGTCAACATCAACCAGATTGCTGTGTTCATTTTATAAAGGCCCTCAAGGTGTAAACGACCCTATAGAGCAGACGTGTCAAACTCAATCACACAAGGGCCAAAAACTAAACCACAGTCACAGCTGCAGGCCAAACAGGACTAACATTTATTGAACAGTCTAACACTGACAATGATTTAACCAGAAATATGAACTTGAACAGACTGCAACAACTTTTTCCTCAATAAAATTTGAAAAATTCAATTTACCGTATTTTTTCCTCAACAATAACATCAAGCCAGCCTAATTTTTGTTGTAGCTTTTTTTTTGCACATTTCCTGCTGCAACTGCAGTCTGTCTTTTAATTCTTTGACAAATTGTTGTTTTTCTTGGAGGCTAACTTTAGCATACTTAGCTCGACGCACATCGTACCATGACACAAAAGACACACGGGTTTTCTCCTTGAAGCAGAAACATATATTCGCTTTCCCACCTTTCGTTAAATTGCCTTCCTTCTGCATCAACCTCTCTCTTCCTGGACATTTTGGGATTAATGGTATTTCTCATTTACACTTGCTGGAAGTTACTGGTTAAATGCTGAAGGCTAAACACTGCCATCTAGTGGCGGGATGCCTATAGTTCGTGGGTCCCCAAATCGACGTGCATTGTGGGAGATGTAGTTTATGGTCACTGTAGGTTTTCAATTAGTATAAAGTTTTATTTTAAGACAACCATATGCATTTTAAGCTTTCGAGAGCCACATAAAATGATCTTTGGGGCTTTGAGTTTGACACATGTGCTATAGAGGTTAAACACTTGTGACTCCCCACCTGTCTGTCCCAACTAAAGAAGACCACTGAATCAAACTGTCCTCAAGAATTTAACCCAGTCGACCTGATTTTGACTCCTCAGTATGTGCTGATATCCCCATGACTCACCTGTGGATTTTGAGATGGTGTGTGAGAAATTCCCCACCAGATTGTTCTGATTAATCTTCACCAAAACAATTCTAGTGACTTTAACAGTGTTGGTACCGTAGGTCTGGACCATCTGATCCACTGTGTCCAGCCTGTCTGCATTCTCCAGGCGACTCTTTCCGATTTCTGGGAACCCATCTAGAGCCCCTTTCTGCCACAGGTACCACTTGAATTTCTTAAAGTCATCATCTCCCAGATCCTCCAAAGTCTGCAGCAGCACCTCTGTAAATGTTGTCATCTTTTGTCCTGACAAGATCCAAAGCTATGACGAAAACCTGTAGTTTAAAAACAGCTGCACATGTAATTTTACCTCCACTGAACACTATTGAAACAGAGCAGATTTACAGCTTGATTAGCAGCTAAAGCTAGTTCATGGGTTGTAAGTGACTGGTACAATAACAGGCAGTTTGAACAGGGTGGAGCAAAGCATAGACGTGGTCTGCAGAAGTCTGAGAGTGTGCTACCTTACAATCTACTACCACACACATGTACCACAGTAAAACATGCTTTTGTTGCCTGTTTGTAAAGAGTCTCACAGCGTTGAACAGGACTCCCGCGGTCACCACAACCTGGAGCAGAACACCCTGAACAGTGGAGATGATAGTGGACACAGCATCACGGCAGTGCAGCAAATTGTAAATATAACCAGTGTGAGTCATGATGTGTATAGATGTTACATATCTTTATAAAAGCTGGCTCTCTTTTCCTCGCATTCCTGTTTTTGATTGCACACATTTTCTTTCATGTTGAGAGGCTGCTGCGTATAAAATAAGTTCATGTTGTGTTACTGTTGTGTTGTGGAGCCAGAGACCATGACTGTAGTCACACATCAAACAAACTGTCAACAAATCTTCTTTGCCCACACGATTGTTTTCAGAGCTCATCACTGAGCACCACTGTTTCACAGCTGGATTTTAAAGCGTCTGGTCTCGTCATGTGTGTGTGCTGGGAACCTTCCTATAGGTGTCAGTGTGTCTCTCTGCTACATCAGATCAGCGACCTTGTGTGACTCTTCACATGGTTCAGTGTAATGATTCGTTCTGAATCCTACACATCAGACCAGTGACCTTGTGTGACTCTTCACATGGATCAGTGTAATGATTCGTTCTGAATCCTACAGGTTTTCTGGTTTTCTGCTGTACGCTGCTTTTCTACAGTGCGTTTTGTGTTTTTGTTTCGGTTTCACTGCTGCACAACCTGCTGAGCTTTAGGACAAATCAGCTGATTGTTTTAGGTCAAACACATGAATTCAGCTCTGACAAGAGAAACTAACATGTGGTGAAAAGGAACTAAGTACATTTACTCAACTGCTGCACTTCAGTACAAGTTTGAGGTTTCTTGTTCTTTACTTGACTATTTGCATTTGATGGTCCCTTGTACTTCAACACATGGCAGAGGGAGATATAGTACTTTTTACTGCACTGCGTTTCTCTGACAGATTTATTTACTAGTTGTGCCGCCATCGCTTAAACTACCTGACTGCAAGAAGCAAATACTTTGAAAGCTGAGCTGAAGTGGTTTCAGTTAGTTTTCATATAAGAAGCCAAAGACTTTGTGGCTCCAGCTTCTTAACGCTGATGATTTGCAGAGTAAAGTGAATCTTTGTGGTTCAGAGCATTGAAGCTCACTTCATTGCCCTCACCTTGGCGAAAGGTGAGGGCCATTTCTCACTTTTTTTGGTCTTTTAACTGACAAAACAATTAATTAATTGACCAAGACATCAATCATTAATGATCGGTAGTGAAAAGAATAATGGCAGCTCCATAGAAAACAGTTCCCTTCAACAACTCAACCACATAAAGTTGTGCATGAAAATGAGCAAAGGTGAAGCTCCACGATGCAAATGTGTCGAGACATTGACTTCACACTGTTTAAAGTAACAGGTTCACACATAAACAGTAAAAACACAGAATGATTAGAGCGAAGAAAGTGCGTACCTTCACAAGAGAAAGCAACCGGACACAAAGCAGGAATTGGAGATGTGACGAGTGCAGTTGGTGAAATAAGAAGATGGTGAAACTTCCTGCTGCAATCAGAAAACTTCCCTGCAGAGGAAGGTGTCTAATTTTTACATGAAACAATAAAACAGCCGTGATACATTAACAACATTATAGGAAGATAGAAGCAAATGGAAGCTAAAGCAGTCGACCTGCACCTCCAAAACAAAAGCCTCTGTGTAACCCTCAGAGGATGCTACAACGTCCTGTTTGCAGCACAACATCACATTACTACACTCACACTACAACAGGGGACATTTTACTGCAGTGTGTACTTTACTTTGGATACTTGAAGTACATTTATCTGATAATACATGTGAACTTTTACCTCAGTAAGCTTTAAGAGCAGAACGTTGTACTGCAGTGAAGAGTGTGTTTCAGGGTGTGGGTAATGAAATAATGAGTGAGTCAGAGAAAAGAGTCTCAGTAAAGTTTGATGTCATCTGCAACCAGAAACCAAAGAGCCAGAGGCTTCCTAAAGATCACTGGCCACACAGTGTCTACAGCGAGCTGCTCAGGATGCGTTTCAGTTTTTTTAATAAATGTTCACTGAGGGTAGAGTCTGAAAGGCAGACTGGCTGGGAATATTTAAACAGTCCCACTGTAACACCATGAGAAGTGACTTCAGAGCCCAGATGTCAGCAATGTTCTGCTGTTTCCTCCTGTGGACAGAGGACGACGGCTAACAGAGATTCACATCAGTAATGGGGTCTTCAGCCAAAAAAAAAACCTGTTGAGGATGATCCTACAGTTCTAGAGCTGGTTTGAAGTGTTTTCACTGTGAAATCAAGACATGTGTGTCTGTTTACTTGTTTTTATTTAAGATTCTAAAACAACAAAGAGACAAATAAAGCAACAGAGAAAACAATTCAAATTAAATCAATTCAAAGTGTCATTAATGAAAATCAACTGCAGCTGCTTCCAGCGACGACACCACAGGAAACAGAGTTTAGGCTCATGGCAACACAGACAAGGCATCACAGCTTTAACAGTCAGTGCATTTACATTTACTCAGGTACTTCCCAGTTTTTACAGCCTTGTACTTCTACTGCATGTCAGAGAGAAATACTGAACTTCTGACTTTACTGCATTTGTTGAACAAATGTGCAGTAGTTTTACTTTTCAGTAACAATGGGCAACTTTAGCTCAGGTTAATCTCCTGATTATTTTCTCAACTAAACATTTTGATTCCAAAATGTCAACAATGAAAAAAGCCCATTAGAATTTCCCACAAACTAAAGTTTAATCTAATGTGATGAAGAGCTGCAGGTTTGTTTTCAGCGATTCATTCACTAATGATTGATACTCGCAAGATTAAGATTTCACACATAAAGTAAAATGAATTGTTTTAGAAAAATATTAAACCAGATTAAGACAGTTTCCTCTGACCTCTTTCTTAAAACCACAACCTTTTTAGTTCTCTGGGCTGTTCAGTCTTTTTTCAGAGCTACAGTGTGTAACTTGTAGTAGCACTAGCATGAACCTCCAAACCGACCGGTTCCGCTCTGCCCAGCGCTCTGTCTTCCTGCTCCGCTCTACTCCGACCTTTAATGTGTTCATTTACAGAGGGACAGTGTGCATGGCTAAACATTTCTGTAGTTGTACCAGAAATAGTCACTGGCTAATTTTCATCTGCAGCCCCTGTGAGGAGGCTTCTCTTAAAAATTGTAAGTTACAAATAATTACAAATGAGTCACACCTGAAACATTTCTTCAACACGACTTTGTGCTTTCTTTCAGTCTCCTACATGTTGCTGATGCAGGACTTGGAGGACAGTTGAGTACAGTTGTACTGGTACTTTTACCTACTGCATGTACAGGATCTGAGTACGTCTTGCTGAGTTAAATCCAACAGACAGATTTCTGACCTAGAGTCAGTCCTTGCAGGTCAGACCAAGCCGAGTCCTGTCAGCCCACCTGATGCCGGTTTCAGACAAAAAAAATGTCAGGAGCGCAGTACAGAGTCCGTCCCCTGACTGATGGACACGTCCAGATGCTTCCCAGATGCCAGTTCCTTCGCTCTGATCAAGTGGTCCTAAACATTTCACAAAGGTGGACTCACTACTGTTGAACTGTCTAGAACCACTGGACCAAAGAGGATCAGTTGCGTCTACCGGGCTCCCAATGAGGCTCTGATCCTCCTCCACTGCACTTTATACCCGAGCCTCCTCACGAACAGGAATGAGGGCCCGACCGGTCCGACCGGCGGGGGGGGGGGGGGCCTGTACTCACATGGACTCAGGCTGGACTCACCTGCTCCACCTGTTTGTTCACCTGCATCCTGTCATTCAGACCCACTTTCCAGACGTCAAAGAGAATCTGTAGTTTGAAGGAACAAGAGGCACAAAGGTCAAAGGTTAATGTTTGTTTTCTATGGCTGTACCCCAGAAATAAATTAGAAAGTAAACCAGGGTGTAAGAGGTTAAATTGTTCCAGATTAAACTAGTATGGGAGCCACTAACCTGAAACTGTGGCACAATCTCATTATCAACCATTTAATACAACACATACTGAGGACAGATTCTTACTGAGGTCCAAGAGAAACCATGATTTGTTGTTAAAACCAGAAAACACCTGAATCTGTAGACTCCAGGTGATGAGACCAGACTTTGTTTCAGTAGTTTCTCTACCGCAGAGGTCAAATGTCACTGAGCTTCTGAGTCGACAGGCGTTCTCAACTGTTAGTGTTTGTCAGTGATGTGATGTCACCTGTATTGCATCTTTTACCAACATGAGAAAGAACACAACCCAGTTCACTGTGAACTGAGAGCAGATTTCATTGCCCTGCACTAACTGAAGTATTTGGACTCAGCAGCTTCACGTGTGTCTGTTAGAGACAGGTGAGAGCCACAGAGCTCGTGGGCTTCAGGCGTCCAGCTTCTTCATTTGCATTTCATTCAGTTGCTTAATTTAATAGGGTGCTAAACACTAGTTAAATGTGTCAGACTCGACACAAAGATGATTTTTCTCCACGGCTGAGGAGACAATGGCCCCTGGACACAGACCCTTTGGGCCCCTGGCCCAGCAGGCCTGTGCTCCTCCCATGGACCAGTGTTAACATATGGTCTTTAAATTGTCAGTCTGATTTTTATTTATATTTTAACTTCAGTGCTTTTTCTTTTCTCTCCTTTATGAGGTTTTAATTTATCAACATTATGTGTGACTTAGTTTAAAGATTTATATAACGAAATGTGACTTTTGAGGCTGTTTGAGTTTCACTTTATATCTGACCGGGTTCATTCTGACAGTTTTACTGCATT